TGAAGCTATTAGATTAATGCAGGTAGTCTTTTTATTTTTTATATTTACTATTATATTATTGTTATAGAATGTCTTTGAAATCATGATGCAAATGAGATAATATAAAAATAAGTAAAAAAAAAAATATTTTTTGTTTAAGACTTTATTTTTTAATTAATAATATTTTTAATAATTTTTTAATAATATTTTTTTAATAAATTAAGTTTCAAAATTTTTTAAATACAAATGAAATTAACTATCTAATTGAATGCAAATGAATTATCAATAGATGATTATTCTATATGTGGAAATAAAAAAATATAAAATAAAATTTTATATATATACAATATATAAAATAATAATGTTATATATATATATATAATAATAATAAAATGTTATATATATATATATATATTATAAAATAATATTCAATATATAAAATTATATTCTATGAAATAGGAAGGTGTGGATCCTATATATCTGGATAATTTAACTAAAAATTTTGGATTTCCTGTTGGAGCAGCTACTTTATCAGATGAAGTTGGAATTGATGTTGGTGCTCACATAAGTACATACCTTATAAAGGAATTAGGTGAACGTTTTAAAGGTGGAGATGTAAATATACTCAATGACATGGTTAAAGCTGGTTTTCTAGGTATTCAGTTTTTTATTATATAATATCGTGAGGCATGCCTCGTCTTACTTGGACAAAACATCGATTTTTTAGTGAAATCAAAAATATCTCGCAGTTCTTTGTTTGCTTCGTCTAAATACGTATTGAAATAAAAGTATTAGTAATAAGTAATAAATAATTAGTAATAATTTTAAGCAAAGTTTATAACATAAACGTGTAATTGAATTGTACATGAAAAAGATGATTTCAAAAACAAATTAACAGAACATATTTTTTAGAGATATTTTTGGAACATAAGTAATTTTGAAATAATTTTTTTTTTTATGCTTCATAAACAAAATAGTATTAGATGTAAGTAAATACATGTATTCATTGTGGCTCAATCTGTCTTGCTTGCTTGCTTCGCGTACTCTAAATGATAATATAATACATAAAACCTCGAGGCGGCTTCGCGGATCTGTATAGAATTTTACATTTTTTTATGTATATATATTTAACGAAATACATATTATTTTCAGGAAGAAAATCAGGCAAAGGAATATATATATATGAAACTAATGTTAAGAATAAAAATGTTAATCTTTCAGCATTAGATATTTTAAAAAAATATAAACTTGAACCAAAAGGAAATACAACTATTGAAGATCGTCAATTAAGAATGGTATCTCGTTTTGTTAATGAAGCAATACTTTGTTTAGAGGAAAATATTTTAGCTAATCCGGTAAAATTTATAATTATATATATAATATATTAGTTAAATTATTGAATTATATTATTTTTTATTGAACATAAATATTTTTTTAGTTGGAAGGTGATATAGGAGCTGTTTTTGGATTAGGGTTTCCTCCATTTACTGGTGGACCTTTTCGTTGGGTAGATTCTTATGGTGCTGATAGATTAGTGAAAAAAATGGAAGAATTTCAAAATCATTATGGTGATGCATTTAAACCATGTCAAACATTATATGATATGGCATCTAATCCTAGTAAAAGTTTTCATAGATAGAAAATTGAATGTCTTTATAAGAATGAAACTTTAAAAATGCATTTTTGAAATTATGACAAACAGTAATTGCTTAAGAATAACCATAAATATTTAGAAATATTATATTTTTTTGATAAATAAAATGGATTTAATAATTAAATTTGAACTTTTTTCAATGCATCAATGCAAATTGATTAAATATTTTATCTCATAATTTATTATGAGATTTTTATATTATATTAGAAAATATATATTTTTATAATACAAATATTTTTATAATATACAATATCATTCATATCATCATATAACATCAATCAATTTTGATAAAAATACAAACAAAATGTACATACTTTATATGAAATATGTAATTTTTATTATTATTTAAGTTATAAAATATAAAAAATAAAATTATTACAAAAATTTAATAATAAATTTTCATAACAATATAAATAATTTGTTTAATTTTCCTTTATAAAAATTTACATTAGAAAAAATAGCATGTATAAGCATGTATTATATACTATAAGCTATTTAATAATGAATGATAAATGTATATGAATAAATTTATCGTCTAATTTCCATTTTTTATTTCCATTGAATTATGAAAGATATAGGAGTGGAATTCTAGTTCTTGATGCAATATTTAAAAGATATTGCACTTTATTGATGATTAAAAAATAAATCTTATATTTAATGATTAATAGTTAATTATAATAATGATAATGATTTAAAGATTTAAAATAAATTTAATTTAAATAAAATAAACAAATTTATAAAAAATGAATATAAAGTTACATTTAAATTTAAAATATAATAAGATATAAATATAATTATAATAAGATGAGGTTTATCTATTGTTATTTTTAGTATTTTTTATTATAAATAAAATTTAGAAGTAAAAAGATATTATTTCATATATAATATTTTTATAATAATTTATAATAATTTTTGATGACATTTATTATGATATATTGAATAATTTAATTTTAATATTTTATTTATTTAGAATTTTATTATTATTGAATAATTATTTTATATGTTTATTACAAGATAAAATTTTGATGTATCGTTTTTTTAATAAAAAAAAAAAAATTTTAATAAAAGCAAATAAGGGTAATCAGATAGACATTTTACATCATCTACCGGTCCCATACTTGTTTGTGACATTTACAATATTGAAAGAATTCAAGTCCTTGGCTGATGCAAGAAATTACGATATTTCGTGAGAAGCCATTAACAAGGATTATATCTCAGTTGACCCGTATAATTTATTAATTTTAGTTTATAAACAATATGAATGCAAACTTAAAAATTATATCATTCTGTTTTTTAATATATTTAATTTTTTATATTATTAAGAATTATTTTAATAATAAATGAAAGTATTAATAAAATGAAAATATACATGATTACAAATATGCGATTTATACGATTTATTTAATATATAAATCAATAGAATGCAATAAAAGAAAACAAAAAATTCGTATGTATATATTTCTGATAAAATAACGTTATTATAATTTTATCCTAATTTATTTAATTAATGTTGAAGAATAACTTTATAACTGTCACAAATTTTCTTTCTTTGTAAAGATTATTAAACAGAAAATATATTTATATTTTTATGTCTATTTAAAATTATTTTTTTTCATAAAGGCAAACAATTGATAAAAAATTGTATTTAAATCGATGTCTGTGAATTATATTTGGCGTATTTTACATGATTTTGTTTTTGCTATTATGAAGAATGTGATAATGCTTACAATGAAATTTTTTCTTTCTCTATGAATTTTTATTAGTTGTATTCATTAAATGATAAAGGATATAACCATATATATATATTTTTTAAATTAATAAATAATAAATCAAAATAAAAGATATATATGATATAAAAGATATTAAAATATATATTGCATTACAGAAATATTTATAAAAGTTATATTTTATATATATATTTTTATATATTTATATATTTTATCAAAAATTTTATAAAATTTATTTATTCCCTATTAAAAAATTTATTTTTATGTAAATACATATATTTTATTCTTGCATTTTTATGAAAGATCTATTGAAGATAGAAAATAGACATTTTAAAAAATATTGGCTTTAAATTTGCATTATTTATGGATTTTAATCAAATAAAATAATATCTTATATATTATATGTATTTGAATGCAATTTTCTATACAATGATATGATAAAAATTTTTGATTTTAATATAAGAATTGTTGAATATTTTATTTTATATTTCAATTTTTATATATTAAAATTTATTTTTTATGATATAAAATGAATAGAAAAAATTATATCATTATTATAAAATATTTAAAAATATTCATGTCAAATTAAATCAATTGATATCAAATTTTATTGTTTTATTTAATTATTTATCTAAATTTAAATTTTAACTAAAAAAAAAAATAAATCAAAGATTGATATTAAAAAATCATTTATTCTTTTTCAATTAACTTTACTAAAAAATTTATATATTTATCTGACTTTTTTATGAAGTTAAGAAAATAAAGATTTATGATTAAAAGAGAGTTCATATTAATTATATATTAATTATATATTAATTAAATTTAAATTATATAATTTAATTTAATAATTATGTTTAATTAAATAATTTATGTTCAATTTTTCAAATGATAATGATAATTGCTCAATTTTATAAATAATTGCCATAAAAATTAAAAAAAATTATTAAATTACTGTTATAAATCTTTAATACATATAATTAGATGTTTAAGGATATAGGAAATACATATAAAATAAGTTAGACATTATATATTTACAATAATTTTATATAGGCTATTTAATTAATTTTAATTTTTGTAAAAAAATTTTTTAAACTTATTTTATAATATTAAAGTCTTACTTGTCTGGTACGTTAT